GTAGAATGGTAATGTGTTGACTTATAGAGAACGGCAAAAAAACACTTGTTTCTTGGAAGAACGGATTCAAGGAAATTTGGTATGGTCGTTTCTTTTGATCAAAACAAAAAAAATGAAATATGCAAAGAGATTTGGTATAAATGTATTTGCTACTACATATGGTAAAGATGTATATATGAAGGTTGCTATGGTATGAAAAACAGTTACCTAAAGTTTGAAGCTAGAGAAGGACATAGTACTGTTTTGACACTGCAAGAAAACAGAAAGTAGTTTTTGAAAGAAAAATGTCATCTGCATAGATGACCACCACCAATTATTTTTTTTGCTTGATTGTCCTTCAATTCACCACCTGGCTTCATGGCAAACCCGTTTTTTATGGGTAGCAATGTCGTATTGAAAAAATTATTTTTTGATATCATACGTCAATGTCACTAACCATTAGAGTGGACCCTTTAAATGCGCTCGCCACGAGTGTCTACTAGTGTATAGGCCTTAATAGACACATGTTAATAACCCTAATTCTAGTCCAAGTAAATTTAATACGTCAATTCCTGGTAAATTGCATAACTTACTAAATCATAGTAAAACTCTTGTATTACTTTGAAAATCCCCAAAATACTCCTTCACTGTCGTAAGGTATTCTTGTCGCGATGCATTCCCTAACGCAAGGTATTCCCAACACCCCCAACCTATTATTTAATCCCGCAACCCAACAGTAGTACTGGTATACTATTCCATTAACTTTTGGTAGAGATCACAATCCTATCCAAAAGTAAAATCAAATGGACATTAACCATATCAAAATTAGCAAGGTGATGAATATGAATCGCTCACTATTTCTAACAAATACGGCGGGTGACCCACTATTTAATAACAATAGCATTTCATAAATAAATAAAAAAGGATAATCCTAGAAATAATAAACGACGCATCATTAATTGAAGTACAATGGTCAACTAAATTATTGATATTAGCTTAATTATATATATAATCATGGTATTCTAGTCTCAGACTTGATCTGAATGACTGAATCAGAGCTGATTCAAAACCTTAGGTGGTGTCCAGAGGGAATTTCTGTATAACTAAGAGGCTTGATGTGTTAATTATATATATATATATATATAAAGGTTTCCTACCACTTTCCATGCACTAACGTGGGAGTGGGGAGGCTCGGAGCAGTGTGGACAACCAAATCTTAGATCATAGCTGTACTGATTGTTTTGCCGGTAGCCACTGTCATTAGCCAGCCCAAGTTCTGTGTACCGTATGAGGACACCGAGTCACTGCCCCCCTCTCCCTCTGCCACCCCACCAAAACCCCACAACAGAAGGGCTCCATTGGTGGCACGTTTTAATAACTCAGATTATCGAGGTGATAGTCTAGTTGGTTTTTGGTAGGAGGGTAAAAATCCCGCCCTTCTTTGATGGTCATGAGTTTGAACTTGTTTGTGATAGTAACTCTTGTGAACCAGATATTGTTGGAGGAAATGAATGTCTAATTTGTCTTCAATGGTGTTGTGGTGACGAAATCGACTATTCTAGGTCAACAGATATGGTTCAAATCAAACATTTTATTGCGTGTAAAGTCCTAAGGAGGTTGCTACGTTTGATCGCACCTTTTTGAACCATAAAAAAGATATCATTAAAAGTTTTTTTTTTTTTTAACTTTTTTAAACAATTTTGTAAAATAGCAATCATACATGCTTGTACTTTTTTCACGAAATTACTTGTTTGCTTAAAAATTGCCTAAAAATTCACAGTAATTTTTATATTATCTCGATTTCATTTTTATTTTCTTTTCCTGCTTTTATTTTTCAGGCGACAATGAGTTTCTCCGTTTTTCTTCATCGGACTAACAAGCCCAGGGTGGTTGTAATGATCGCCCAGTTAATGTTACTGGGCTGCCCACTGTAGATGGTCCGATTTTTTGGGCCTAACAAACCCAGGGTGCTTGAGATGATCGCACGACATGTTACTGGGCCGGCCACTGTAGATGGGTCAACTATTTTGGGCCAATATAGTAGTACTACTACACTGAGTGATGCCATTTCCCCCTGACCAATCCAAATCCAAATCCAAATTGAAAGGAATCGCAACTGACTAGTGACTATTTGCACTTGCAAGACCAAAGAAGAAAAAGGAAAATTAGGATTAAATTGGACCCAAAAACAAGTGGGATTAATACCACGTTAAGGACCACCAATGTTTTAGCTTGTCCCTCAAAATCACCTTGCAAGGAAAGGGTGCCAACATCTAATCTTAGTTTAACTGATGTGAGATTGTTATATAATTTTATTTATTTATTTGAATGTTAATTTTTTTTTTTGTAGGGGGAGAGGGCTTGAACCCTTGACCTTAAAAAGACAAAACCTTCACAAAGTAAAGAGTACCATTGAACCAAAGACTTATTGGTTATTTGAATGTTATCTAAGCTAATTACTAACGGGTTATATACTGAATAAGTCTTTTTAGTGGTGTAGTTATCTGTGTAGTGGGCTTAGTAGTTATACATCCTGTGCTGTTATCTCTTGTATTTAAAAGACTATACGATTAATGAACGAATGAAAGTTTTCATTCTCTCGAAACGGTTTCTTTTTTCCCTATTCTATTTTTCTTTTATTTTCTAAATTCCTCTAAATTGTGCACGTAATACATCATTTCTAATCGATCTCATTTAATTATAACTTAATTCAATTAAATCGTAAACTTACCCCACCATATCTAAAAATATCATAGTGCTGTCCAAACCAAAGACTAAAAAAAACAGGAATATATGCTTTATACCAGCTGACAATGAAAGATGAGGGAACTATTTAACCATAATTGGCCTCGAAGAAAATTTTTTGTCACTGCAAAAGCAAAATAGAGAGAATAAAATTGTTCCAGCAGATAAAAGTGGAACACTTTCCGTCCCATTTCCAATGGCCCCTTTCTTTCTTTCTTTCAAACTCTTGTCACATCGCACGATAAAGGATAAATAGAGAACATATTTGGTGCTTATAGAGCACTAGTTGGCAGCCACTGTAGTGTCACGTTTTGTGTACATAAATATAAAACTATCACAATACAAGGAACTATCTGAAAAGCATCAGATTTAAGGTCTCACTACTTTCATCACATCTAGGATTGAAAGATAAGAAAAGAATAAACAAGACAAAAGTTGTTCAACCCAACATTTAATCAATCAAAACCTTTCCAGAAAAAGAAGATACTTGAGGTTAGCGTTTGGCATACTGTCCTTTCTGTTAGACATTAATGTCCTAAGTTTGAATTTAATTGTTTTTCTCAATACTCAAAGAACAATAAAACAGAGGAAGACAAGACCCAAATATATAATTATCATACCCCAAAGTTTAATAAGACTAAAAGAGCTGGTTTCTTTTAAATATATTTTTTTACTTTTGAGTAAAAGAGGAAATAAAAAACAAAAAAAAGTAACATNGGCATGAATGACGTACTTTTAATCGAAGAGTAAGACGAGAATTAATTGAAATACACATAAATTGACCCCAATATCTTTATCTACCGTTGAACCAAAAAAGAAATAAAAGCACCCAAACTTCTTTGTGGCAAACACATCTATGGACCGTATTAGGTCAGGCAACTTTCACGAATACGAGCATAAACTTCAATCCGATAATTCACGAAGTCTGACTCAAATCTTTACTACTCATAAAAAGCAACACAATCATAGAGATCTTTTCAACTGTAGAACACAACCCTGTTACACCAAACATTAGAGCATCTTCTGTTTTTTTTTTAAAAAAAAAACAAATATGGATGAGATTGGCCAGTTTACTTCAATCCCCACAAACATTTTGGGGCAATAACTTGTGACCATTTCCGAGGGCACACCTAATTAACTATATAATCAAGTGCAGATAATTGGAAATAAACAGGAAACAACATGATTTTCGATGAAAAAGCACCAAAAAGGCGCGAACACTCTTTTTCTTCTACATTTTTTTTTTCCCAATAATGTATCGCCCGTTGTCCCCTAACCCTACATGTTTGAAAACCTTGCACCAGTTCTTTTAAAAATCTGAAAAACATGTCTTTGCAACTGAACAAGGCCAAGAAATAAAGATGATGATATCTCCAGAGGAAACTCTGTTATGTAAAGAGAGCAGGCAGTGCACATTGCAACAAAATTATGACCAACATTATGAATAAAGATGTCAAGGGAGGGCTAGCAGCCACAAAAATAAAGAAACTAAACAGCACAACACAATCACAGGAGCTGATAGAAATTAACATGTTCAATTATTACAGGACAGCTCTGTGGACTATGATAGCTATTGGAGATGTTATGTACTGCAGCTATAAATGAAGCATGTGAACTGCCAAGGTTAAAGAAACCTTTCAATCGTTAGACCAGGGAAAATTTAACACCAAACATTTTTGACTAAGTTTCAAAAACATTCTTGAGAAGAATGCCTATGCTGTGTGAACCCATATGAGGGTAAAGGGTGAGGGGGGGCTGGAGAATTGGACAAAAGAGAAAATTCTACGCGATGAACAGAAAGGGCATACTAAGGTTCAGAATTAATATGAAAGTTCTTTTGCTATTCAATTAGAATTCAATACGAATGCTATTTCTTTGAATTGGGCATTCAAGAAAAGCATATGTGGGAAGAATAATGGAAGTAATGGGCACAAAATAGCTCTTTCATGTTTAGAGATGGCTGTGAGGAATAAGGGAGAATTCAAACCTAGGTCGTCCACACGGTCACACATTTGCCCAGTTATCGAACCACTGGTCTGATAGAACCTTATTCTATCCATCAAGTGTGAAACTAGAATGATTTTTTTTTAATGGGTGTTGAGTGGCTACCCATGATTTGAACTGGGTTAGAGTTTGTTCATAAAAGAACAAGGGTGACTAAACGGTCAAGCCCAACCACCAAACCACCCTTAGGGTTCATGTGAAACTAGAATGTGTGTGTCATAATCAGCAAAAATCATCGCAAGGATTGAGGGAATTCTTCACACACAACATCCAAAGTATATATATAGCAAGTCATATAATAAGAAACCTATTAACCGAACTCATAAAATTTCCTTTTTTATTCATCCTATATTACATCTTTTATGCCCTTAGATTCAGGAATTCTTACATGAACATTTCAAGCAAAACAAACACCCAACTGAATGCCACAGATCAACCAAAAAAAGTCAAAAGTTTCATTGAACCATCAAAGCATTCAAAAAAAGTTTCAGGAGGATGATTATAAAGCCCCCAACGACAGTTGAACTTCAAGAACACAAATTGAAGGTCAACAAGAGAAATGCGTTACTTTTATTGTACAAGAACCAGCCGTCCCGCTCCGATACCCCCATTCTCACGATCACCACCATCCTCACCATCCAAATCCCCAACTTTGGGCACCATCACGATGAGCTCTCCGTCACTGTATGCGGCACTAGCCAGCTCCGGCAGAGTCGACGCCGGAAGCCGAAACCGCCACAAATCCAGCTCCAATTCATCCACCGACAAGTCAAGAACATCGTCTCCTCTTATCACAATCTTCGTGACCCCAGGATAAACCTCAATTGTGTGTGCCCTGACGTCATCTCCAACATCGTCCGTGGTGACGCTGAATCTGAGAGAATCGGGTGTTTCTTCGATCAAAACGTCGGCGTCTGAGTGGAAAGGGAGTTCGAGGACTCTGGCGAAGATGTGTGGGAGTCTCCGGAGCTTCTTTTGCCTGCAAACGAGCGAATTCGCTTGCGAAAGTGCCGAAACCATGTCGTATCGCAACGTTATGTTTCGCTTCCTCGGCGCTGGGTGAACCTTCATGGTATCAAAGCACTGTAACCTCGGAAAAACCGAAACTACGATGAAATTCGACTGAACAAGAAAAGAATGGTTCGATAGATTCAGAACTGGGTAAGAAACCCAAATCTCGGTTTTGGGTAAGGGATGTTCGTTCGTGAATTCTTGAAATTGAGAGAGAATCAAAGGTATGAATTTGAAGCGTGTGAAAGTTTCACAGAGGACAAGGCGTTAGTGAAGGAGGTAATAGAGTGGAGGAGAAAGAATCACTGCTGTAGAAATAGAAGAGAGGGATACGTTGCTGCCCTAGAGTTTCCGTGAAATTACGGATTTTTTTTAGTTTGTTTATGTACTTGTCTGGTAATTACCTACCTACTAAAGTTTTTAATTATGCTTTTTAGATTTATTTGAATTTAATTTATTATTCTAATTCATCATAATTATCAAATTTATTTTATTTTATTTTTCTCAAAATTTAATGCTAATTGCTATAATATCCCCTCCAATATATTTTTAAAATCTTTATTACAATCACCTAATATGCATTCAACACATAAATATATTGGAGCCACCCATATCATTGTATTAAAACATACATAAATGCATACAATTCTTAGAGGTAGTTCAGTAATTGAGTCTGTCTTCTAATAATTTAAAAATTTTAAATTTAAAATTCTATATACCCCTTAAAGACTAATCATCTTTGNTATTGGAGCCACCCATATCATTGTATTAAAACATACATAAATGCATACAATTCTTAGGGGTAGTTCAGTAATTGAGTCTGTCCTCTAATAATTTAAAAATTTTAAATTTAATGTTCTATATACCCCTTAAAGACTAATTATCTTTANAATGCATACAATTCTTAGAGGTAGTTCAGTAATTGAGTCTGTCTTCTAATAATTTAAAAATTTTAAATTTAAAATTCTATATACCCCTTAAAGACTAATCATCTTTGTTTCTCCGAAAATATATTCTAAATTCATTTAAACTTCGATGATCAGTGTCCGAATTTAATAAAATAATAGCACAAACCTAAACAACACGTAAAAAAAAAAAAACAGATAGATGCATTGGCACTATTTTCAGATAGGACAAAGAAGGAAGTTTCCTAGATCTTTCGAGGTTTTTTTTTTAATTGGTGATGTAATCGGAACCTAAAATATCCAGAGGACAAGCACGCGCTTTCTGTTGGAACATGGAATAACGGTTTCTCTCGGATATGGAATAATAATATACTAACCAAAAACAAGCGAGTAATAATAAATAATTTAAATAAAATTTTAAAAATTATAATTCAAATATATATCATTCTTTGCATAAATCAGAATTATAAATTTTNCAGAGGACAAGCACGCGCTTTCTGTTGGAACATGGAATAACGGTTTCTCTCGGATATGGAATAATAATATACTAACCAAAAACAAGCGAGTAATAATACATAATTTAAATAAAATTTTAAAAATTATAATTCAAATATATATCATTCTTTGCATAAATCAGAATTATAAATTTTTTTTTATTAAAATTCACTCATCCAATTTTCATTTAAGAGATGATATACATTTCATTATAATTTTAAGGTTTTATTTAATTTGTATAGGATTTTTTAAAATAAAAAGACCAAATAATAGAGAATAAATGAAGTGTCCTTATCATAATAGAAATTTTTTTAATTCTAAATATTTAAAAATAAAACCAACAGCATCATTATTATAATGCCACTATTTTTTGTCCTTATTTTTTGGTCAATTTAATAGTACTCTTTTTCTTTAGAATAAGGTACAAGTTGCGAAAAATCTGACTTGTATTTGGAATAATTTGACACAAAACTATGAAGGAAAAGATGACCATATTATTTTTCCATTCCAAGATTAAAAACCTAGTGATTCGTTTAATATTTTTTTTTCTCTTAGNAAACTATGAAGGAAAAGATGACCATATTATTTTTCCATTCCAAGATTAAAAACCTAGGGATTCGTTTAATATTTTTTTTCTCTTAATTTGTTTGTTGAATAGTAGATAATAGATTTAGAACCTCTTTGTATATAATGAGTATTATTTGAATTAATTGAAAGAAATTGAGATAATAAATACTACTAAGCGTCTCGTTTATGTCTTGCATCAACTTTTTCTTTCTTATCCTTACCGTCTTCCTCTTTTTCTATCACTTAATATGAATAATTAAAGAATTATTGAAGTTTAAAAGGGATTAAAATTTATTTTTCTTAAAAAAGTTTGAATGATGGATTCTCAATTATTAAGATAATCAAAATGTAGTTATATTGGTCAAGCATCGATTGTTGATTGAAGAATACTTAATTTTTTTTAATTAATTAAATAAAAATTCTAAAAATTAAGAAAAGTGGGAGATAATAGTTTTCAAGCCCTCTTTTCTATAATATATATATATACTGCCGTTATCGCCACTACCATCACCACCACCTCCACTGTCGTAGCTGCCACCCCACAACCACCGCCGCCACTGCTGCCTCCATCACCGTCACCACCACTGTTGCCGCCAACCCCACCACCACTATCATCGTTGTCGCCACCGTTGCCACCACCCACCGCCATTGAAATCGCCGCCGCCGCTGCCACCATCACTACCAACATCACTGTTTCCTAGCACCACCATTGCCGTCCACCATCTCTTACCCCTACTACAACCGATGCTTAAATTCATTTATCTTTTCTTTATGTTTGTGATTTGATTTTAAATATGAATACAAATATGTTTATTGTTTACCATTTTTTATTACTCTGTGCCTTCTGACACATACAATTATTAGTATATATATATTTTAGAAAATCCAAATGCGGAAACTATAAATCCCTTATAGCCTTTTATATAAAGATGTATGATAATGAACGCAATTTGAAGACGATAAATAGCATTTAGAATGCGCAATAATTACATTAAGACATTTTAAGTTCGAATTTTAGCAATTTTTTAGATCAAGTCATAAGAAATTTATCTTTATGAATACTCTAATTGTGACGTGAATGATCTGTCTTTAACTAAATTAAGGAGAAGAGCTGATCTAAAAATTCCTAACTGTTGAACGAAAAAAGACACAAAACTTAAAAGCTATAAACTATAAAAGTAAAAAGTTATTGAAATAAATAGGCCCATCTAGTGTACCAACAACTAAATTGTTATAAACTATCATCAAGGTTGGATTGATGACCTAGATGGCTAGGCTTTTTTACAAATAAAATCTGGGTAATCAAAACCATTAAAAAAGTAATTTTTAGAAATAAAATGCACTTCATCTTAGTTCCCATTGTGTTTAGTAAACACAATTTAGTCATCTTCGTTCATAGTTTAATCGCCAAGCATGCCCCTCTGCGTGGCTTTGTACTTGAGAGGGACAGTCACCCAATATCTTTTTTGGCTGCAGGCTTAAAAGTAATCTAATTTTAGAATATATGTGCACTAGTTCACTCCAATGGCACTGGCACATAACTTTCTTTATTGCACTGAAATTTCAAATATACTGAGTCAAATATAATAAGAATAGTAAGAATTCTAATGCACAGTGAATAGGGTTATTAGAGACATGATAAGAAAGATAGAAATTTAAGCATGGGCTTAAAAATATTTCATATCCATTATGCATATGCTGGTTTAGAAGTCGTTTTCAATGACATGAAGTTGAGGAAAAAAATAATTGAAAATGAAGCGCCAGATGGTTCTGGGTTTTGTTGGCATAATTTCTTAGTAAGAATTTGGTGTCTTGTAATTTTTATTATATATAGGTAGGTAATAAAATATTTAGACTCCATTGATGATATTTGGAGATTCTTAAAGTGGAAATATTAATGTTTTAAATAATCAAAAAAAAATTCAATTTATGGGTGATGAAGGACAAAATTTAAGGCTTCTGCTGTTAATTTGTTAATAATAGAGGTATTAGTGAAAGTAATGTCTTTATATTTAATAAAATAATTTCGTTTTAACCATTATTATCAAAACTGTATCAGACCGATTAGTTGAATCAGTGAATGAATTGGACCCTTAATCAATCTAGTTTAGTAATTAGACTGTTTATGTACTTAAAATGGCAAAAAATAACTAAATCGGCCGATTTTCCATAAAATTGGAGAACCGGACTGTTCGTTTAAATGGACGGTTCGAATTTTAAGTGATAAAAAAAAAAAAAAATCAATTTCAATCTTCTGTTTTCTCTTCTCCGACGCAGACGGCGGCGTAGACGCCTTCCTCCAAAGCTCAACAGCAGGGGGAGGCAGGGGGCTTGACTTATCTTATGCATAGCCCAATGTTAGCCCAAAACCCAGGTTCGCCATATTATTTCTGCTTTCTAATCACCCCCAATGGGCCCAATCATTTTCTATCTTTTTGGGCCAAAGGTGGGCCATCTCCATGGTCTAAATCAGACCAGCCTAATAATGGCCAACATCATTGCTGGGCATTAGCAGGCCATTTGCCAAGCCCGAAGACCATGATTAGAATGGGCCACTGGCACGAACTTTGTGGGACCGTTGTATCCCAGCGTAGGGGACAGATTGGAGAGAGTGGCTTTGCATTCATCTACCTTGGGCGCCAAATCAGCTCCTGTCACACGGTCCATATTATTGCTGAGAAGGAAAATTTTGTCTGCACTTAATTTGTTGCGTTAATATATAATAATTAATTATTATCTGTGCCGAAAGACACAAAGTAATAAAAAATAGTAAATAATAAATATATTTATATTTATATTATATAATAATCATTGAATTCAATAGTGGATTCCAATTAACAATAATTTTTTTTTTTGGCTCAATAATCAGGAGTGTTGGAGCCAAGTTACGCACGCTTTAACTAATCTCTTCTTCGATCTACTAAAAGGCAGACCGCTAATACCTAGATCAAAAGAATTGTCAAAATTTAAACACAAGAGGTTGCCAATCATGATAGATGGATACTATAATTGTTGAATCGATTCTAAATTTTTCTGTCATAATCCTATGGCATCATAATTTAATCAAAATAAGTTTGAACTAACCTTTATTTAGTTTTAACGTTTGGTAAGTTCAAAAAAAGATTGTAAGTTTCGATATCGATCGTACTTATCTATAATCGTATGCATTCAATCAAAAGATAATTTTTTGATTCGGTGCTGTATTTTTAAATATAATAATTTTAATGGAAGTTTTTAAAATTTTTGTGGATAATTTACAATTTTTGTACGTATTTATACAATTTTTGTAATACCGTACTAATCCTAACAATACAAAAGTTGTAAATCGAGTTGCCGCTCACGGGCGGTCCTGTCTTTGGTCTGGGTCTGGCAGC